GAAATACCAAAAAAATAAATAAATAAATAAGCACGTGGAGTCGAGCCGGTTGGACCCTGTTACTCACTGATTCAGTCGGGGGAGGTTCATTATAAATTTCCAGTCTGAGATTCTTTTCTGGCCGATCAACATGTAGTGTAGGAAACTCTTGACACGGCTGATCCTGGCCATGTTGGACTCCATCATCTTTGGGGTGCCTGTCGGCCTGTGGTAAAACGCCCTGAACTTTTCAACGTAGGCATCTGAAATGAGGTTGAAATTTATGTCACTAATGTCAGTAGCTTTAGTGAAAAAGAACAGCCATGCACATACTGAGAGTGACTCACGCATGGATTCAGGCAGCCGCAGGTGCCTCATCACATTTCCTTTAGAGACCCCCATGGACCATGTTTTGCTCCTTTTCGGTTTCCTTTTAATCTTTGGAGTGCTGAGGGGAGAAGGTTTGGCTTTGGGAGGGGAAGGCCTTTTTACAGCAGTCGTGGGGAATGACAACCGACTGCTGGTCTCATCAGCAATGTTGACATCCGGCTGGACAGCTCCCTCTGGGATGTTTTCTTCAGGAATGTTGCCCTCTGGGAGGATGTCCAGCCGCTGTTCGACCTGTGGGTCCTCCACAACGACTTCCTCTTCCACCTGTTCTTCCTCAGCCTGTTCCTCCTCCACCTATTCCTTCTCCACCTGTTCCTGCTCACTCTCTTCCTCCTCCACCTCTTCGTGCTCCTCCTCTTCTTCTTCCTTCCTCCTCCTCTTCCTCCTATTCTTCTTCATCCCCCTCTGTCCTCTTTGTCCTCTTGGCAATATAAATTCTCTCCTCCTGTATCGGGAGGAGAATTGTTTCTGCAGAGGTGCCGGGCTCCTCCTTTGTCATCCAAAGTACAGTAGAGGGCAGAAAAAATGAAGAATTAGTGACTTGCACCTTCAATCCAACTGTATCAAAAGTCAGGGACAGTACAAAATAAAGATCTCACCACTTCCTGCTCGGAGTCAGACGAGGCTTCGCTTTCGACTGGAGCCTGTATTTCCTTTCCCCGGGCCCGTCTTCTTTTTTTCGGCTCCTGTCACAGACAAACAACAAAGGCCATACTGACTATCATCTCACCCTGAAAGGCAATGCTGGAGAACACAGTTCCTATCCATCACCCACCTCCTGATACCCCCGCCTTCTCAACTCTGACTTGAATCCTGCAGCCACGCGTTCAGCAACCTTCAAAGCCCTATAAAGCTGGGCGTTCCTTTCTTCAACATCCTTCAACTTTGACTGTAGGCTGTAAAAAGTATCAAATAATACCTTGTTAGACTGTGTGTAAACAAATCAGATGACATCAAAAACAAAAAATGCTTACTCTACGATTATTGAAGCACACTCAGGATTTGTGCACGAGCTGGAGTGGGAGGCAGAGGGCTCCTGAGTGTCTTGTAGTGGAAGACCATCCAAGTCAAAGGTAGTCACCATTGGTGGGACTGGCTCACTTGCTCTGAGCTCAGCTAAGAGCTTGAGAGCTTTTTTGGTGCTGGCTCTTGTTTACAGGCGAACCCTTTGCTGTTCAGTAAGTTCAGAGTGCCTGTTAGGTGTTGGCCATATTTATGGCCATAGCCTATTGCTGGGCATGGGCAGGTTCAGATGTTAATGCGGCCCATTGCCCATGTGGACAGTATTTTCCTTTCTGCCACATTCAGCACATTATGCTGATTTTTTTAGATGTTTGGTCATATTGACCAGCTCTCCGAAGCAGATGGGGCATTTCCAACTCATTGGGCCTCATGCAAGAACCGTTCGTACGCACAGATTTGTTCTTAAGTTGTGCGTACGAGTGATTTAGGAGAATTTGTGGCATTCACCAATGTTTTCATATTCTAAGATTTTTTTTTCAGATACGAACAAAATTCAGGAGTGGTCCAGACCTGTCGTATATTTTACGGGGGGTGGGGGGGTGTACGGTGCGCAGCACTGTGTCTTCTGAATAAATGAAAATGATTTAACACAGTTGTTTATACTTTTAGCAGCTCTTTTTATCCCACAGCTGACCTGCTAAAAATGACAGATTTTCTTTTCTGGATCTCTGACAGACCGACTTCAATCTCTGAACTCATAAAGTTTTTCTTTTTAGTTTTCACTGTCATTTTTCATGAATGGACACTTCCTGATATCTGAGGCAGGAAACATAGCCTTATATGGTGTTTTTGGGGAGGTAATTATGCTAATCTCCTCTCGCGTGCACGAGCAGCTGGATACGAACAGGTGGAATTTACGCAGCTCATTTACGCACTTTTCCTGAAGATAGAAGAGTTTGTTGAATCTGACGTGACATGTTCGTACGAACCCTTTGTACGAACAAAAGTAAGAGAAATTTAGGATAAGAATACGAACATGTTCTTGCATGAGGCCCATTGTTTCTGTAAAAAAGATTAAACAGACAACTGTAAGTGTTTGCACTTTAAATGTGTAAACAGGTAAAACTGTTCAGCTATAAACCCAGCAAAACCTGCAAAAAACTGTTAAAACCAAGGTGGACCACATCAAAAACCAAGCAAAACCTGTAAAAACTGTTAAAATCCAGGTGGACCACGTCAAAAATCAAGCAAAACCTGCAAAAACTGTTAAAATCCAGGTGGACCACGTCAAAAATCAAGCAAAACCTGCAAAAACTGTTAAAATCCAGGTGGACCACGTCAAAAATCAAGCAAAACCTGCAAAAACTGTTAAAATCCAGGTGGACCACGTCAAAAATCAAGCAAAACCTGCAAAAACTGTTAAAATCCAGGTGGACCACGTCAAAAATCAAGCAAAACCTGCAAAAACTGTTAAAATCCAGGTGGACCACGTCAAAAACCAAGCAAAACCTGCAGAAACTGTTAAAATCCAGGTGGACCATGTCAAAAACACATCAAACCCTGCAAAAAACTGTTAAAACCCAGGTGGACCATGTCAAAAACACATCAAAACCTGCAAAAACTGTTAAAATCCATGTGGATTGGGTCTATGACAGATAAAAACATGCAAAACATGTTAAAATCTAGGTGGTCTAGGTACAGGAAGGCTTAAACCTCAAAAAATTGGACTGGAAAGGTATTCACATGTTGCTCTGTTGACATCTGTAGTGAAAATGAGGTTTGAACCTTCTGGAAAAAGGGTGAGTGGAGTTTCAATTTAAGTTTCAGTTTCTTAATAAACAGAAAAAAACTGCATAACGCATACCTTCATTCTTTGGTGTTTCACAGTGCATAGGAAGTACCTAGCTAAGATTGCTTAGGCTAATTGTTTTCGTCTTGAAAAACCCTTTCCAACGATACCAAGCTCGCCCAGATAAATTACTCATACACCGAGTAAAAGTACTACAATCTGTGGTCACACTTAGTGTTCGTAGCTGAAATGCAACACTTTTTGGCTTCTAGCTTTGGCTAGGAAGTAGCTACAGGGCTGAAATGCTCAGAGAACTTAAAGACTATTGGTCTGAGAGTACCCTTCGAGGTACAGCTTTCTAGCTAAAGGCTAACTTGCTAGGAGGTGGGTATTAGTACTGCAAACTGTCTTCACACAGTGGTCGTAGCTGAAATGCAACACTTTTCAGGTAAAAACCTTGGCTAGGAAGTAGCTACAGGGCTGAAATGCTCAGAGAACTTAAAGTCCATTAGTTTGAAAGTACCCTCAACCTGTCTTCACACTTAGTGTTCGTAGCTGAAATGCAACACTTTTCAGGTAAAAATTTTGACTAGGAAGTAGCTACAGGGCTGAAACCTTCAGAGAACTTACATACTATTGGTCTGAGAGTCCCCTCTGAGGTACAGCTCTCTAGGTAAAAGCTAACTTGGTAAGAGGAGGGTAAAAGAACTGCAACCTGTCTTCACACTTAGTGTCAGTAGCTGAAATTGTACATGTTTCAGTTAATAGCTTTTGCTAGGAAGTAGCTACAAAGCTGAAACGGTCTAAGAACCTTCAAAAAAATGGTCTGACAGTACACTCCATGTTTCAACCTTCTAGCTTGAACCTACCTCTCAGAATTGTGTGTAAAAAAGCTACAAAGTATCACTCCAGTCTTGTTGATGATTAGGTTGAGGGGGTTCAGGCCTATGCAGAACAGCAATGGGGACAGAGCATCTCCTTGGTATATGCCACATTTGATGGACACTTGTGCAAGTGGTTTGCAGTTGGCTACAAGGGTGGTTTTCCACAGCCCCATCGAGTTTGCAATGAAGGCTCTTAGAGTCCTATTGATGTTGTACATCTCTAAGCATTCAATGATCCAAGTGTGTGGCATTGAGTCATAGGCTTTCTTGTAATCAATCCAAGCGGTGCACAAGTTACTGTGTCGGGTTTTGCAGTCTCGGGCGACTGTGTGGTC